ATGACACGTCAGCTTTACTCAAGATTAAGAGTGAAGAACAATATAGCCTAGTAGGTAAGCATCAGATTGAGCTGGATTTAAAACAGGGCTTGGCCACTTGCCAGCTGTGAGCCTTGGGCAAGTTACTTCACTGCTGTAAGCCTCAGTTTCCTTATCTTTAATGGGGATAATGAGAGTTAGCTCATGGGATTGTTCTGAGGATTAAATGAGATAATGTTTGTAAAGCGCTTAGTATGATGTCTGGCCCAAAGTAAATGCTCACTAAGTGGTTGTAATTATAAGCCTGTTTTGGAGAAGCTCTCACTTCATGGTACAGGGCGGCTCCACCAGCCACAAAGAGCCCTGCGGGCCGGGGGTCAGGTGTCTGCAGGTTTTTGGCAGCTGACTCAGCCCTGCTGGTATGCTTGCCTAGATATAAGGTACCTTATGGTACTTTTTCTAAAGTCACTTAGAGTGCCTTCTTGTACCTTCTCTTTCACTCTTCCTCCACGGACACCTCCTATGCTGACTGCCTTAGATCCTTCCTGAAACAAGGTTAGAGGTGGCCAAGGGGTGTGTGTGGGAGGAGAGGGGCTGGAAAAACCTGTGTGTATTCAGGAAGACCCTCTCTACAAAGGTTTGCCAGCAAATTAAAAACCAGAATGTATGCTGTGAGCAGGACTAGAAGTTCAGGATCTTTCAGCTTTTATAGTGGCTTTTGTCTGTCTTCTGCTGAATTGTACAGAATTTTCCTCCCCTTCTGCTGTATGTCGTTGGTCACTCACATCAAGCCCCCAGGACACACAGTGGTGTGAAAACCAGGAGGCGGGGACCCTTGAGGACCATCTTGGAAGCTGGCTACCACACCCTGCATGTAAGAGTTAAAAACTGTGGTGAAGGGAATTCTAAGTGAAGCCGTGCATTTGAGTGAAGTCTACAGTGTTTCCTTTATGTACATTTTTTAAAGCATTTTAAAACTCTTTGACTAAGAATCCTTGCATGCTACCTTTTCCACGCATATTCAGGATGGTATGTTTATTCAAGAGATATGACCTCAATTTACGTTCTGTTAGTACAGCGAGTTCTTTGACTTAAGGTTAGCTTGTGCCCTTGCCATCAAAGAGCTGATTGTATGTGCCGAAGTGGGATAGACTCACACGGCCGCGCTGGGCTCTGGTCTACCACTTCCTGGCCCAGTGGACACTGCTTGGTTTTTCTCCATCAGTGCTTTTGGCTGTGCCTGCGCACTGACCATGTGGAGGTGTCTTCTATACCCTCCATCTCCTGCCCCTCCCCCCCCAATTCACATACATTTGGTAGTTTGGAGCATGGCATTAACACTTCATATCTATTTTAATGTCATTATTCTCTTTGGGGCCCACATTATAGTTATTTGAGAAAGCCTTAATTAATTCCTCTATAAGCTTACGAACTTGCTGATGTTGGAATTTGTGCTCAGCTCGTGTTTTCATCTCTTGGACCTTCTTATGCAATGCGTTGAACATAGTAGGTACTTAATAACATTTGTTAAAGGAAGAATAATGACAGTATCCTAGATGGAGTAGATTGTAACAATGACCCATGTTGGGGTTATTGCTCTGTTATTTGGCGATCTGGGGGATGTCCAGGATGCGTCCTGGTCTGAGCAAGATGTCAGAGCTGTTAGACAACTTGCATCTGGAGTCTTAGGAACCCACCCCATTACTAGACCCCTTGGGGTGGTTCTGGCTGGAGGATGATGGAACACCAGTCTGCACTGAGGACTTTTTCTCGTCTAAGAGTTTTTGGAATAACCTTGCTTTAGATGGGTTCAAATCTGGGTAGGTGATGGAAAGCATTGCTCTACAACACACAGTGGACATTGAAGAAGGCTTCTTCCTGCCGTTGTATTCAAAACAAAGATTGCAGAAATTATAAGAATGGCAGCAGTGCCGTTGTGTTTGGATGTTTCCTTTGGTCTAATCGATAAATCCGGTATTTTGGACAAGGTGTGTCACAGTCACAGAACCATCCTTGGGAATTTGGCCAAGGACAGGAAGTATTGGGGAAAGCAATGAATAAGAATGAACATTTAAAAATTAAAGTGGCAAGTACTCTGGTCATCACAAAGGATTTTCTGTAGTTAAAAAATCGAGAATATGAATCTCTCGTCTCAGAAAAGATCCTAAAATTGTTTATTGACAGGGCTCCTTCTTGCTCTGCACTCCTTCCCTGTCCCCAGCCACCCCCAAAACTGAACTAGTTTAAAATCTGAGTGCCTTTTCTAAGGTTTTAAAATAGTAACACAATGCTGCAGTGATCCCGTAAAGCTATGTTTTTATTGTCATCTCTAACTTGTAATAGTGCTTGGTAATTACATGGTGCTTTCCATCTGCAAGTCTGTAAACACATTATAAATGTTAACCCTTTAATTCTCCCAGTAGCTCTGCAGAGAGAGGGAGAGATTGCATTGTGCCTTGTGGCTTAGCTGTACGTTTGGTCTGGTTACAGCTCTTCGAGGTGTTCTTTCCTATATGTGGTAGAGCTGGTAAAGTACCATCTGCTCTTAAGAATGATGTTCTGTTCTGCCAAATAAAAAATTCAAAGTCTCTATAAAAGCAAGAATCTGAAGGGTAAAGCTCCTGACTTCAGCATGCAAATACTTCTAGCCTCTATAGTTTGGCCAGTTGTTACTATTTTGATTGCAGATTTGATTACAGAATATAGATTAGATTGCTAGAATCATTAGAAAATATTTTGTCTATTAAAGGATGCAGAGTTTTGTTTCTTAGATACCTTATCTGCTGCTGACATTTAAAAAGAGAAATTCAGTATTACTTCTCGGCAATAGTTTTTTTGGCTTTTTATTATTATTTCTTTTAAAAGTTGTTTCTCCCTAAGATCTATTTTTTTTTCCCTATACATCCCAGAGAATGGAATAAATAACTTTGAAATTTATATTAGTGAATTTCAAAAGCCAGACTAGACTTTAAAGAGACTTACAGAACAAAATAATTATTGTTCAGTTTTAAGTTTCTTTAGCTGTAGCTTTAATACATGGCTTCAATTAACCAACATAATTTCAATTTATTATGCAAATGTGACAATTAGTCCATTAAAGAAATCTGTTAGAAAGATTATGTACTTTGTTTCCGCAGCACAATAAATTGCATTGAATGTTCCATTTTTTGTTATTTTGATTTGCTTATTTTGTCTTTAATGACAACTCATTTAAAGCAAAAGTCTTTAAAGTGGCAGAAAATGTGATAACATGTCTTCACTGGTAATTTAATACTTGGATATAATGGGTTCATCTGTAAGATTTCATTAAAAACAGCAAGGTGCCTGAATACCAAAGCTGAGATGTTTTTAATCACAGAATTATAGTAATTATACAAATCCCAAGATTTTCATCAGACAGAAAAAGCTTCCAGGGCAAAACATACACTTTAAACTTAGCACTAATAACTGTGTATTGTTCTAAATTATAGGAGAGAGAATTCCCAGGCCAAGGGAAATAGTGGAGAGAACGTTATGTGTTGAATTTTTAAGGAAAGTTAAAAAATAAACTATTTTGATAACATAATGATAATTGTAAGAAGCACTTCACCAGAGTAATAGAAAAGGAACTTGTATGTGAGGCCATGCTTGATAGCAGGTGAAAACTTATATGGCCAATGAGTCTTTATTGTTTACTATGTTATCAGCTTTGAGAGAAAGCTAAAAGGAACAGCTCTCTTTTCCCAAGGGTCTTAAAGCTGCTAACTGACTGAAGTCCTTCTTTCAATCAGTAAATGGGGCAAATCACCAGTAAATGAGATGATTATTGGCCCAGAGTCTAGATTTTTGAGTTGAGTGTAAAGAATAATTTAGTTATCATGTGGTTGTTTGAAAATGTCAAATTTTTATAAAAAGACCAGGACACAGTACCCTTAAGAAGCTTGTTTTTAAGAGAAGTGATTGAAAAAAGGTACATCTAGGAAGTTTTTATAAAAATCTCTCTAAACAAGAAATTTTATTTGATCTATTTTTCATTTATCATTCTTTCCTTTTTTTTGGCTCAGACGGGTAGGGGGAAACGAGAGAAGGGGATTAATGAAGGGCGAGCACTGAAGAAGCAGTGTGCTGTGGGGATGTCCGTGATGGGTGCAGGGAGGGAGGAAGGATGCCTGGGAAAGCGGGAAAGGCAAGTCAGGTGGACTTCTTTGTAATAGGGGTTTGGAGTTGAGGTGCAGAGCATGCATTCGAATGAAAGACCCTGAGATCTGACTGGGTATTCCTGATGGGTGCTCAGGACACAGAATTCCTCCTAGAGGCTGGAGCAGAGACATGCCTGGGATTTGAGTCCTGATAAGACAGTATTTATGGTCTCTGTTCTGATCTCAACCCCATCCCTTTCTATGGTAAACTCATCATCCCCTGACTGCAAGCAGAATTGGAGAGTCGGCTGGAACAACTGTTGGCTGATTCCTTCTGAATATGTTGTCATCCACATCACCCGCATTTATTACTTGCGTATTTGAACCTCCGGCTGCTTCCCCATCAGTAAACTTAAAGACCATTTAGAGCCAGCTTTTAGCCTTGTTCTGAACGAGGGCACACAGGTGAGCCCATGCAGACCTCACATTTTGCAGCCACTCTTGCTGGGCAGGCCCTGGCTGGAGAAGCCCTTGTCTGCAATCTCAATGTCATTAAAGTTTTGTTTTTTTCCCTTTTAACCATCAAAATAATATATGCCATTGTGGAAAATGTATAAGATACAGAAAAATAGAAGAAGCAGAAAAGTCACCATTAATTCTTCTACCCAAAGAGAATTCATATTTTGCCATACTTCTTTCCAATCTTTTTTTCTGTATTCTTTGTTCTTTATGTGCGTTAATCTGCAAATGCATATTTGCATTCAGATTTACAGATGTTTAACAAAATTTAATCACCTGTTACAGGCATTTTCCATAAACCTCATGGGTAATCTATTGAATATTGATTGCCATGGTGAACTTGAGAGTGTTATTATCTTAAGTGTTATTGTCATTTGATCTCTTCCCAGGTCCTCTATTGTCGTCCTCTGCACATCTGGAAGGCTATGATGGGTATGAATGTGACCACTTGGAGGTTGCAGCTAACTTGTTACTTCTTCCTAGAAGACCATCCTTTAGAAGTAGGAAAACTTCTCTACATGGTGATTGAGTCCAAGGGACAAGACACGTTATAGAAAGACATGGATGAAAGCAGCTCAGGGGGTCCCAGACGCATGCTTCCTGTAGTCTAGTCCAGGGAAACCCTTCCGTGGGGCCCTGGCATTCTGGGATGTCGCCAGTTCTGGACGCATGGCTAATTCCTGAATGATGATGGTTCGTCGGGGGCTGCTGGCGTGGATCTCTCGGGTGGTGGTTTTGCTTGTGCTTCTCTGCTGTGCCATCTCCGTCCTCTACATGTTGGCCTGCACTCCGAAAGGCAACGAGGAGCAGCTGGGGCTGCCCAGGGCCAACAGTCCCACAGGGAAAGAAGGGTACCAGGCTGTCCTGCAGGAGTGGGAGGAGCAGCACCGCAACTACATCAGCAGCCTCAAGAGGCAGATAGCGCAGCTCAAGGAGGAGCTGCAGGAGAGGAGCGAGCAGCTCAAGAGTGCACAGTATCATGCCAGTGATGCCGTGGGCCTGGGGCCTGACCGAGGCCCTCCTGAGAAAACCCAGGCTGACCTGCTGGCCTTCTTGCACTCCCAGGTGGACAAGGCAGAGGTGCACGCCGGTGTCAAGCTGGCCACCGAGTATGCCGCAGTGCCTTTCGATAGTTTCACCCTGCAGAAAGTGTACCAGTTGGAGATGGGTCTGACCCGCCATCCTGAAGAGAAACCTGTGAGGAAAGACAAGCGGGACGAGTTGGTGGAAGCTATTGAATCAGCCTTGGAGACCCTGAACAGCCCTGCGGAGAACAGCCCGAATCAACGTCCTTACGCGGCCTCGGATTTCATAGAAGGTTGGCAAGTTTGTGAATTGGGGTGGAAAGTAGAGGAAAAGGCTTCTGGGTCCAGGCACCCAGGCAGGTCATAGCTTCAGGAAGCTGGCAGTTGGCTCTGGGGATGACTGGTAGAAAGTTTCACGTGAGTGACACCTAAGGTATATAGCATGGATTTTTATTTTTCAGAAACATCTGTTTCCACTTACTTTCTCGTGGAAACCGCAATCATTGAGTAGACAGATTAATTTTTTCCTGGTAGAAGAAAGTAGAACTTCTTGCTTTCGTTTAAAAAAAAGAAATAAAATTTTTAAAAAAGTTGTAAACATTAAACTTTGAAACCCAAACAGAGTATGATAGGTAATTTTAATTTCTCCCATATCGCAGGCACTTTTCCTATAGATTGGGCCCAGTTATCAGGCCCAAGAACAGGAGAATAATGGCAAACACTTATACTTGCCAGACACTGTTCTAGGAACTTTACATTTACTAATTCATCTTTTCCTCATAATGACTCCAGTAGGGAATAAAGAAGTGGAGGTTCACCTAAGGTTGCTCAGTTAGCAAGTGACAGAGCCATGCTTTCAACCTAGGAAGTCTGATTTCAGAGTCCATGTCTTTAACCACTAGGGTATATTGTACAGATTATCAGAGTACATGAAACCTGGTAAGATGAATGGCTCAGCTTTTTTTGTAGGCATAACACGACCTAGTATTAATTTGTATTTGATGGTGTCTAACTTTAGAAGAAAGCAGCCTTGGCTAGTTTCTTAGAAGACTGACTCATTAGTATCTTCTTTTTATCAATTTTCTCAATGGTACTGGTTCAAAACTCAGCTAATAATTTGGGACAGGAAGTACCTTTGAGGGCATCCAGTTCTTCTCCCTGTTTCTGGATAGAATCTAATCAACTTCCTAGACATGTAGCTGCGTCCCCATTACTCCACTCCCTCCCTACTTTGGTGCTATAACCACCATCTCATCAGCCTACAAGCAAGACATAACTCTCTTTAGTCGTATCAAAAACCTTCTTGCTGCTATTTATGCCTGTTTTCTTTGGACACTTTCCTGTCTTGTGATTTTTTTTCCACTTTATATATGAACTATAAAATCATGCAATTTTGCTATAGTATCATTTTTCATATACCTAGAGTCAGGTAAATAAATCTTTTACAAGATCAAGCTTTTGGTCTCAGGTTTTTGTTTTGTTTTTGTTTGTTTTTTTTTTTTACTCATTTATGTGAGATATTAAAAATGCCTAGCACATTCGGCAGCTAGCAAATATAAGCACATGGTGAGCACTCAGTAAGAGTTCAAAATATCATGATGATGCAGCATCAGATTTTATAGTACTTTGGAGTTTATGGAACATTTCCACATATATTAGCTCACTAGCTAGCCCCCAGGGAAAATCATTAAACATCCTTAAAAAAACAAATCCTAGTTGCCACTGCCCCTGGAGTCTGCTGCAGAGCTGCCCACATACAAAGCAATTTCTAAAGAACTTGATTACAAATCAACACCTGCGATTTGAGATGTTCACCTTTGTGGTTTTTAATCTGCGTTTACATTCAAAATCTCTGCTTTTCTGTATGCAGTATCTTAATATATGTAAGGCCTGTCATTCTCAATCAGAGTGACACAGGCCTCCTGTCTCTGAGTTTATTTGCCCTGAGATATGACTGACTTCCTGTCAGAGGCACTCTAATCATAGCTGCACAGTGTGGCTTTCATGAGCTGCATACAGCCTGTGTTTTGAGGCAGATCAATCCACACAGACCTTTCAAATTTGGTGGAAGTCTAGTCAGCTGTTTTCATATGATGAGTAAATAGGCATACACTCTTTAAATATATTTATACATATTTGACTGTCTTAAGCACAGTTTATTTCATTTTTCCATTCTTGTCACAAAAGATTGTGAAGACAATCTTTTATACTCTTGAGAAACGGGGCACTATGAAAGATTCCACTAGTCAGAGGAAGCTGCAGGAAGGCAGAGATAAATTCAGCGTAAGGAATAACTTTCAAATAGTGATGTTTCAGAGCAAAGTGGGACTCCTGTCTCTGTAAGAATCTGTCATCAACTGACAGCTACTTGGCCAACTGGTTATAATTCATGATTACGGCCTCAGACAGGCAGGTGGGACTGAATTACATTTGAGGACCTTTTCAATCCTGGTTCATGAATGTTGGATCTATACCTGGTTAAGGAGAAAGAAAGGAAGTAGAAAGGGCCTGATTTGCAATCTGTTTTCTATAACGAGTTAAAGCAAGTGATGGGACCTTATAAGGGTGAAGTATATCTTTAAAATAATTTGTTTGGGTTCCTAAATGTAACCTTAGAGAGATTGATTTTGTGTTTGGGGTGTCAGTAGTCCAAAAGTTGGAGCAATTTAGTGGAAGTCCATGAAAAATTTGTAAGTTACAAGTGGGAAGTGTTCCAGACTCTGAGTTCTACAGAAGGGCAACAGATTTGCTGAACCCTGAACTAGTAGGATAATGGCGGAGATTCTTTGTGTTAAAAGATGGAAATAGTTATGTAAAACTTAAAGCTAGCTGTGAGGCAGGCGGCATGATGACAGGGTGGGGATCTATATGACTTTGACAAAGACTCTTCAGCTCCTTGAGACTCAGATTCCTCACCTGTCAAGAAGAAACTGATGCAGGACAGGACAAATTTCCCCAAGGCAGGGTGGGGTGGTGGTGGTGGTGGTGGTGGTGGTGGTGGTGGTGGGGAGACCTGCACGGAGAGAAGAGGGTCCTCTGGCAGAGAGTAGAAAGAATTCAACACACATGCCAAAGTTAGAGTCAAAAAGAAAGTTTATTAGAAAAGGGTAACACTCCACAGACGGAGTGTGGAGTCTCAGAGGCAGAAGGTGAGAGGGGCAGCGAGAGAGAGAGAGAGACAGACAGAGTAAAGGCACTGAGAGGGACCCTGAGTGTTCAGGGAATTCAGTTTATATGTCATTCTTTAGAACCTGTGAGTTACAGTTTAAAAGACTTTGTTAACTCATTTCCTTTGATATGGAATACAGTGAGGTATGTAGGGTGAAGTTAAGAATATGTAGAGTGAAAGGCCTGCTGGCAGTTCCCAGTCTTTAATCTTTAGGTTCCCCATGGTTTTAGCCACAGGGAATGACTCTTGGTTCCTGTTTCCCCTTCACAGGTGTGGGGAATGGGCTGTAGCAATCCCAGCAGAAATCTTCCTTTGTTCTGCAGGTGTCCTCCTGGCCTGGCTGCAGGGCTGATCAGCATATTGCAGTCTGATTGTGGCTTTCTTAGCATTTAATTCTCTTGCCTCCTACCTACATTAAGACTGCACCTTGATGTTCTCCAAAGCCTTACACAGCCCCGACCTTCTGCCAAAGTGCTGCTCTGATTTCTTATTATCTTTGCCAAACAACCACCCCTGAGGGATGCGCTGCCACCCACTCTGCTACTCAGAACATGCTGTCTATCCTTGTCTGTCTTTTGGGATCCTCCTTTATGAAAGGAGGAATTCTGGTCTGACTGTGGCCACTTTGTACAATTTTGTGAAGCTTGCAGAGGGGGAATACCACATTGATGACTATCTAACTTATTATCTGTATTGATTTAATTCTTATCTATCTCTAAAACACAGAAGGAACAACATTTGCCTCCTTTTTGCTTTCCCCAGATGTTTCCTTGGCACTGATTTTTGTGTTAGATTCTTGCACAATTTTTTTTACAACCATCTGGGAAAAAGAAGTTAAAGTAGGAAAAACGTGATCAGATCCTGTGCCTTAGGATGCCTGTTTATCTCAAGTAAACAGAAAATCATTCTTTATGTTTGTGGTTTAGTTATCTCTTCAGTATGGGATATACAGACTGAGTGGCACTACTTTTGGCTTTGATTTTAAACTTGTAAATAGAGCAATTAGACATAAATTTCATGTCATTCCATACAACAGTTTAGGTCAGGATAGTTAATAATTAACATTTACAGCACATCGAGATGGTATTTGGGGACTAAGATAACAGTGAGGGGTTCTGTGGTCTGTGCTCTGGTGCCCAGTAAGTTGCACCCTGAGGGGTCCGGAAAAAGGGGATTACTCTGACATTACAAGGGTCTGTTATCTTAGTGCAAAAAGACAATAGACAGGCTCACTTAAGGTAAAGATCGACCTTTGTCAAGAAAGCTACAGGCCCTGCGGTGACTACCCACTGTTACCCGCTTTTACTTAGGAATTTTTATGTTCAGACCATTCTGTGTGGTTACTTTTGGTCTCTGAGTTTGTAAGGCCCATCACGCAGGCTTCCCCTGAACTTGTCAGGTTTACTATGTGGCCTCTTTTTCTTTTTCATCCACAACTTGATTTTGGAGCAAGATGGAGCCAAGCTGTGATCCTTAGGAAGGTGAAGGTTTTGAGGGCACACTGTGATGTATTTTAAAACAAGAGGATATAGAAACAGCTACAAAACCTTAGTAGCTGCCTACATAGTAATCTCAACCTCCTGTACTCTACAACCAAGCCCTCATGCTTTCTGAGGAGCTAAGGCAAGGCATGAAGATACTGAGTATTTGACTTCCATTGTTTGTGTCTCAATAACCTCTAAGAGATACCCTGTGACCACTTTGCTAAAGCTTTTTTAAACAAGTCAAATCCAGTTCCTCTCAGCTTGCAGTTCAGTGATGTGTTTGTCAGCAACTTTGTGACTTTGAAAAGGTTAGGCAGGCATTCCGATGCATTTTGGGGCATTTGGGGGTACCTGGGGGTCTTGGTGCAGAAGCAAGGGAGAGTGGGGATTCTGCACAGGGAGTGGGTCCAACCTGTGTTTGGGGGCAGAAGAGAAAGTGGTTTGGGAGACTAACTAGCAGGCAAGAAAGCAAAAGGGCTTTAGGTGCTGCGTTGGGCCTCAGTTCTCAGCCAGCATCTCCAGGGAAGCGAGGGCATTAGAAATTGGACAGCCCTTCTGAGCATCCCTCGCTGCATTGTGCACTGTGCACGGGCACTAACGCACTAACGCTTTGGTTTACTGTTAAGTTCTCAGAAGGCCT